GACTTTAAAGTTTGACTTTTTGAACTTGAATTTTAAGGTTGACTCGGTTTTCAAGTCAAAGGGCATTTTTGGTAAACAATGAGTTCTTCAAACATCCCGGTCAATGAAGTCTCTTGTTCTCAATCTTGTATTAAAACTGTCAAATTTTTACGTGATCAAATCGAGTTTGATTAAAAGAGAAAATGAGGATCTAAAATATGAGAGGTATACTATTAGGAAAGAACAAAGACCATTAAAAGAAAATTTAGAGGCCAAAACTAAGGACTTCAGGAAATTGCAAGAAGATTACAGCAACAAGTGTGAAAACTATGATCACATTAAAAGCAAACTTGATGCTGTAACTAAAGAACTTGACACTTTGAAAATTAAGTATGGAAAAACATATGTTAGTTTCAAAAATTATACTGCGTCAAGTAAGACAGTTGAGTCCTTAGTAGAAAAACAATTGAGTTTTAAAGATAATCAAACCAAGGGTTTAGGGTATCACAGTGTGCCACCTCCTTTTAATCACAACTATAACCTACCCCTTGAGACCAATGAGGAAGAAATGCATGCTCAGTATGGCCAAACCCCAACTCCAGCTTCAGTTAAGACTGAACAATCAAGGCCAACCGAGGATGTTGAGGTAAAGAATACTGATGTTTCTACTTTCTGTGCAGGTAAAGTAGCGGAAGATGAGAACAAGGAGAATACTACTGAAAAAAAAACAATGACTCCTTGAACTCTGAATATGTTGCTTCTAACTCAGTTACTTCTGACAAACCTACTGTTGAGAAATACATGCCACCAAAACAAGCGAAACAGAGTGCCTGCTGTTATTGTGCTTGTGGGAACAATAAGAAACGAGGCAAGGATACGCCACCAGGGGCAGGAAGAAACAACTTCCCAGTGAAGAAAAAGACTTGTTTTCACTGTGGAACACCTGGTCACATTGCCCGAAACTGTCCAAATCGCGCATACGTTCCCTACTACGCACAAGGATATCAAAATGTGCCAAGAGGGAGATTTTCCAAAAGAACCCCTCAAGGTCACGATCAGACAATGGCGACTGGAATGCCACGAAGGCCAAAAAATCAACTCCCAAGAACAAGAAGGGAAAGTCGGCCAAGAAGCCAAATCCAAGAGATGCTCCGGTGAAGCCAAGACCGGTTAGGTTAAAGCCATCTCAAAGGCCGGCATCAAGCTTAAAAGCAAGTACCGAGGCACCCATCCAATCCAACAAGAAATGGTTTATACCCAACTATAGATGGGTATCGAAGGTTCAATCTCCCAAATCATTTAATGCTTCTAATATTTGTACATCTTCTGTTTGTGATAAACAGGATATGTCATGGGAGAAAGTACCATACGTTGATGACAATGGTCGACCCAGTTTCAAAATGGACTGGGTTCCAAAGACCAACTGATCCCACTCTGTGTCGGAGCAGCTATGGAGGCATATCATCAGACCTCAGTTTGTTGATAATAGCTGCTCCTGGCACATGATAGAAGACATTTCTCAATTGTACAACACTCAGATCTTAAATTGAGGGTATGTGTCCTTTGCGGGAAAGGAAGAAAGAAAAGGATCACATATGGGGTTTGTGCTTAACGATGTGAAGAATTTTCGGATCTGTTCTGAGACTATGCGTGCTGTTCTCAGACCTTCTGGATGCAAATTCAGTCGGTGACTTACGATTTGAATTCTCTTCTCGTTACTCCTGAGTTTATCTTTAACTGATTCGTTTTGAAGACAATCATTTATTTTTTTACAGTTTTTCGTTAGTAGGTATTGTTGGGAAGTGATATAATCATGTGATAACAGACAATCTGAATCTGTGTAAGGTACCAAAGTTGGATTGTCTAGGCTCTGTGTTCGATGCGTTGGTAGGCACGAAAGTTTTAAAAATGGACTTGACTAGGATCAGATGAACTTAAGGAATCTAGAGACTTGACAAATCTTAACCTAGATAGTTCCGTTTAGCCTGACAATACGACGCTTGGGTAGGTTGAGCAGAGAGATATACATGGGAATCTGCGGATACATTAAATGATTTGTATCTAGAACTGTGGATTAACTTTTCCTCGATGTATGGACTTTGTCCTTAATTCCGATATTGACAGGGTGACGGGGAATTCCGATAAATTAGGTCTGTAGAAGGTTATTTTCTGGCTTTCTTTCTGTTATTCATATGTTGCCTCCTCTGTGTGATCGAAAGATCCGACCTGGACTGTAACATATGCAATTCTATCTCTCTGCATCTTCTTATCTATGCAATTATTTCTATTTGTTAGCCATATGTTGTCTCCTTTGCGTGATTAATAATCCGACCTGGTACACAGCATATGCACCATTCTACTTCTCAATCCCTCTAAATCTAGTCAGTCATATGTTTCACCCTCTGCGTGATTGGAAGAGATCCGACCTGGGTGTACAATATATGCATTCTAAATCTGAATTCTTCCTTAATAATTGTCTGCTCATCTGAAGTAAGGAGTATTCTGGAAGACCTTGATTATTGGGGTATGTCAGAAAGTGGGAAACACGTTCTAGTACAACTAAAATTGAACATTTATAGGTTGTCTGTAGATCTCGCTGCTCAATTTAGGTGGACAACAATATCTTTGGTCGTCGTTAGATGAATGGCCCTTAGGAATTTTATCTAGGAACGTAAGGCCACAATGTCTTGTCACTTATACTATGTCCTAAATTTGTCATAATCTTTCGTGTTTAAGTGGATCACAATACCGACGATTGACCAGATCTATTCATGAAGAGGGAGGTACCGAAAAACGGATTAAGGCTGTCTAAAAACTTTGATCCAAAATCACTCTTAAAGTTAGATATTATTTTTGTTTTTGTTAATTTTGTTCATAGTTTTCCTCTATGCACAAATTTAGGGGGAGAATTAAAAATTAAAAAAAAAAACCAAACAAAAATCAGAAAAATGAAAAATCCAAAAATAGTGTTATTTTTGTTTTACTTCTTTTCAGAAAAATCAAAAATCCAAAAATATTTTTGTTTCTGTTTTTTTTTTCAGAATATATATAAAAAAATATTGTGTGCTAACTTTTCTTTTAGTTTTGTTTTGTCTTGAAAAGTGAATTCAGAAGTAGATGAGACTCGTGGAGACTGTATCGAGAATTTCTGAGCCAAGGCTTCGTCCGTGATCATCGAAGAATTCTCATTCGAAGGAACAAGAAATGAAGATTATTCTTTCAACATACAATCTTTCAACCCCAGAAGCAAGGTCAAGTTGTACTTGAAGATTATGTGACGGATTGCATTGAAGCCTCCTCAATCAATCTGCTGCTATCTATGAACCTGCTGAAGTGATCCAGAAGATTAGATCTCTCTGTTGTTCTCTCTGAAGATTCTCAAGCTGAAAGCGCAAATTTTCAAGAATCTCCACATCACGCCTCCTCACCCAATGTGCGTTCAATGTCAAATTCTGAAGAAAAGACCAACTTCTCCAGATGAAGTCACTTATTGAAGATTCATATGTTCATCTTGAAGTCATGAAGATATCGAAGACAAACGCTGAAGCCAAGCTCCAAATGAAGATTGACAAGAAAAGCCAGCTACTTTTTAGGGGGAGTTTGTTGGGTCAATTAGAAAGAAAGCTATAAACCAAGGGGGAGATTGTTGAGTCAAAAATATTGGTTTATACTTTGCTTTTCTAGGAAAATGTATTTTTTTGTAATGTAATACGTGTTCACGGTCGTGTTTACGGTCAGGTGGGTGTTTATGGCCGTAAACTGGTTTACGACCGTAAACCCATTTACGGCCCATGTTCCCCATATACATATAAATAGATGTTAGGTGGGTGAGGAGAGTAATGACCAAGGAGCTTAAGTGTGTGTATTCTAAGGTGTTCTAGAGAGAGAAACAAGAGAGAAGAAGAGAGTGTGTGTGAATCTATTGTAAGGAGCATCAATCATATTGAATACATCATAGATTCAAGTTATTCTTCTTCTCCTTCTCTTCTATTTTGATCTGACATCATCCAATTGATTGGGATTCCGCACCATCAATTGGATCTGATTGATACACAAGCAAATTTGGGGACTTACACACTTGTTATCTTGTAACTGAAATTCATCTATTAGAGACCACCATATTTGCTCAAAAATATCCAGACCAATACAAGAATTCCATATAAGAGATTGCAAACATTTCCTAAAACCTCTTTGGTTTATTATTGGGCATTATTTTTTCCCGAAACCTAAAACAAGAAAAAATACAATTAAACATACTACATATTAAAAATATATAACAGATGCTCTATAGACGTATTTTGATTTGAACCTCACGGAGAATAATTCCTAATCTAATGCTGGTTATTTTGAATTTCTAACTTTGAATGAACTGATAATGGTAAATAACATAGATATAAAAATTGACTAATTTAAAATTTAGCAAATTATCATCATACCCCTGCTATAAAAATTGACTAATTTAAAAATTAATTGCAAATTATCATCATACCCCTACAGATTCTAAATAGATATAAGTCTCTACAAATAGTTCACGGGAATCTATAGGTTCGCAAACCGCATCAAACCGACTCATGTTCATCCCTACAAAAACTTGAGCAAGAAGACTATGGAGATGGAACAATTTTTTGATATTTCATCAAAAGCACTACAATGATTTAAATAACAACAATCCTACCGCTTAGGGCTAAACATGCCAAAATAAGTGCGTGTTCGACACAGAATGTTTGAGAGCTTCTAGCTTCTAGCTTCTAACGTTTGACAAAACGCTCCGTTTTGAATAGAAAGTCTCGTTTGACACTATAAGCTTCTAGCGTTTAGTTTAAACAAAACACTCCAAATTCAAATGTTGCTTCACGTAGCGTTTAATAAAACGCTATCAGCTAGAAACTACCTGCTACAAGCTACCCGCTACCAGCTATTTGTGCCGAACATATCGTAAGAGAAAAATGATGATCTTAACTTATTTTTTTCTAGTTGAGCAAATCCCTGAATAAAGATCGCTTGACCAATTCTTTTTCCATAATTCTATTATTTCCATGTATGTGTGAAACACTGAGCCTTCGGATTTCATTCTTCACAGCAAGTCGCAACCTGGTTTCTTGTGGGCCCGCTTGGGCCTCTGCTGTGGACCGTATCAGTCTATGATTTATTATTCATTTATTGTTCCTTTAAACCCAGAATCGAAGATCAAAACGTCAAGAAGATGAGGCTATTAACACACAATATTCTAAGATCGGAGATCAGGGGAGTAACAAACAACTACCCTCTCAAAATCGAAGTAAAAGAAATCAGCGTAATTGAAGCGACATTCGATCGTAAATATCTCAAGGAAGTGTTCTCGACGATCAATTGGAAAGCCCTAGTCTACGCGTCAAAGGCATTGGGGTTCACCGAGCTTCCTGACGAAGTCCCCGACGCGTTGCTCGATTCCGATGAGTTTTTGAAGAAATTCCATTATGCACTCCTTGAGCTTCATCTCGAGGAAGGCGCACTGCTTTGCCCACAGACTGGTCGCGAGTTCCCTGTTAGGAATGGGACACCTCATATGGCTCTCAGTGAAAATGAGGTTCGACTAACAATTTTCGTTAAGATTCATCGTTTATTATGAAAATGTGATTCGATTTGAAGATTAGGGTTCTTAATCGAGAACTTTGCCCCTCTTTTGCTATTAGTTTGATGTTCTCGAACAAGTGTCGTGAAATTTACTTTGCCATGTCTGAATGCGCATTGATAGGTTTAAAAATCAAAATGAAAAAATGATTTGAATCAGATTGATTAGGCGGAAGAAAGATAGGAAGGGTGCAAAGGGTTAGATCACTTATCAACATTGTTGGCTTTGACACATCTAGCGAAGGGTTAAGGTTTCATCTAGGTTGTTAAGTATTTTTCTGGAACCCTAGTGTCTTATTCTGTTGTTATTTTTTTGTACTGAGATTTTGAATCTTGCAAGTGGATTGTCATTCCATAAAAGTTGTATTAATCTTCTTTTTCTTATCTCTCAAACATCCCTTTAATCATAGTTAGAGATGACACTTGGCTACTGGTTGTACCTTGTATCTATCTCTCAATTGAACTTTCAATTTCTAACCTAATTCCCAAATTTTATTTCATTTGTACTCTGCCTTTTTTGCAATTTCCTCCGTTTGTTGTATCCGACATTTTTTTTTCCTTACGATTCAGATGCGCCACCTAAGTAAGGAGGAGTACGAGGAGAGTCTGAAGAAACAAGAGGTTGAAGGGAGTAGCACATGTACACAGAAACGAGTAATGATATTTAAGTTTTTTCAATAACTTGGGTTTTAGTATTTTCTATAAATTCATGTTTTCAATTAAATGGAATTTATAGTGGTTATCTTGATTATGATAGCTAAGGCTTTAGGCTTTGATGTATCAATCTTTTTTTGTAGGACGTCAAGGTGAGTAAGAAAAAAAAGGCAAAAAAGGTTCGAAAAGCAAAGGAACCCAACTACAAGCCAAAAGTAGAGTTCATATCCATGAGCAGTGACAGCTCATGTGATGATTTTGACAAAGACGATATCTCCACAGGTATAAATTCCTGAATTAGTATATTTTATTGTATTAAAAAATAAACTTTTGTTGTATCGACCTTTATTTTATTATTTTATGATTTAGATGCTTTGGAAACCGGTGATAAAAAAGAATGATAAACAGGAAAGAAAGAAAGAACAACAAGGTTTTGTTGGAATAAGGTTTTGGTGTTTTTTTTTTTTATAAATTTTGTGTTTTCAGTTGTATTGGTATTTAGATCTTATGTGTTTGATGTTTTTTTTGTAAGGCCACAAAACCTTGGTTTATCTCAATCCTCACGCTAACTACAATTTGCAAGTATTTGTGAAACATCAGTTTATTTGTAATAAGCATTCATAAACATCATTTTATTAAGAGCAGAGTTGTCAAGCCTCTTTCGTTCTTTGGCATGAAATTATAATTGTGACCAAAAGGCAATCGAAAGTGTATGATGGTTAATAAGTAGATTCTGTGGTATGAGCAAAACTTATTTTAGATTCTACATATGAGCGGCGATTAAACTTTCATTTGGAATGATCTTGTGTAACATCATAATATGCATAAGTGATCAATTCTCAACAAGTTTGGGCATATTGATCAATTTTTGAAATATGTGGTCTAAAAGAATACATGTATTTGTGGAGTTTGGACTTAGGCGTTGTAAAACCATAAAAACATTACCCACGTCTCTATTGAGGTTCATTGCCCCTCTAAAAATCCTTGTTAGCATGCTGCTACTACATAATGAATAAAATAAAAAACAACATAAAACAAATAATAGAAAAAACAACTAAACAAACAAACAAATTTTCCTAGGAAAACGTGGTATTTTTGTCGATATAAAAATGCTATATTTTCATAGGCGTTCTTAGAAAATACCATATCTTGTTGCGGAATATGTTACTTTTGCAGAAAGGTCTACGAAAATATGGTGTTTTCTTAAGAATAAACAATGTTTTCGTATTATTTTTGTTTAAATGTTAGATCTCCGGCAGAATGAATAAGTGAAAAGTTTTTTACACCTTTATGCAAAACACGTAAAGACTTGTGAAAATATGATATTTTTTACTCTTTTTTGTTCATTTACAAAAAAAAATATAAAAGATGAGAATAATTTTTTGGATTGTTTAAATAGGTAGACGAATAGAGTATCTTGTTTAAGTTAGCCGAACAAACAAACGATACGAACGGATAAACGAACGAGTTTTCTTGTTTTTGTTCGTTTGTTTAACTAAACGAACAAAAATTTGTGTTCCTGTGCATTCATTTTTATTAAATAAACGAACTTCCTATCCAAGGGGCGGATCTTTATTAGGACGGACTTTATTAGGGCCGTGAGTTCGATCCTTACTTCTTTTAATCTAACTTGCAACCTTATTTCATTCGTTTTGTTGTTAAAGCCTTTTTTTTTTTTTTTTGGTAAATCAGCGAATATGATCCCCAGGTTGACAATATAAATCAATATCGTTTTCAATCTGGTTTCGCCTTTCCCCCCTTTTTCACTTATAAATGGAATTGGTTATCTCAACTTTCTTCCATTGATATTCTCTAAAACAATCAAATCATAACAGACTCCATATGTTGATTGATGTTGTGATACTGGTTCTAGATTTTGGCAATGCGTCATCCAAGGAGATATCTCTTGGCGGGATGCCTTACAGCTCTCATCGTAAGCTCTTCTCTTCCCCTTTTTCTCCATATATTTGTAGATATCATCCCTCAAAAACTCGACCCACTGGTTTTTAGGTAATGACCATTCTTTCTGCTGCTTTTGGCGTGGCTGCTCCGAAACTTGTATGTTTCTTACACATAAAACATGCTTTTGAATTGTGATAATCTGTTATTTCTGTAATCGGTCAACCTATCAAACTTGTGTTCGTTCATTCCCATTACTGAATTTGTTTTGATTGTAATGATTGAGATCTCAAGAACATTGTCTAAGCATATAACCACTGTGTTGTTTTTTGGTTTTGGACTGTGGTCTTTATGGGATGTATATCATGATGGGTAACACATCTTCACAATTTACAATTTCTACATATAATCTTTAGAATCCTTGCAACAAATTATGATCTTTGTTTTGACTAACGGGGACTCTGAAGAGTTGGCTGAAGTTGAAGCTGAATTGGTCTGTATCTTTTTCCCCTTTTACCCTTAGTTTATACTTCAATTTTAGATTACAATTTTCTTCTTATCATCTGTGTAGGATGCCAACATAAAACCAAATAAATCAGATAGCAAGGTAAATCTTTATTTTTTATGTTGTTTCTTTAATGTTGGTTTTAAATCCCATTATGTGTTATGAACTTTCAGGCTGATAATGATTTGTCATAATTAATCATTCTTATACTAGGTGTAAAACTCGTGTATTACACGGATTGATAAAAGAAAATAAAATATTAAAATGTAAATAATAAATATTTTTTAAAATAAAATTTTGAAATAAGTAATGAAGAAACATATTAATTGCAATTTATTATAATATTTATTACATTTGATACTTTATATATATAAGTATAAGATTATGTGGCTTTTTAATTTTAAAAATTGAAGAAAACCATAAATTAACATGTGGATATTAATTATTTAAAAAATATCACAAAATGACAAAATTGTCTTTATTTATTATAGTAGAGAAGATGTGCCCTTAGGACACGTATTAGAAATCCATATGGACATAGATGTAAAAAAAGGAAGTAAATGTGGCGGTTTTTCAAGATATAGAGGAAGAATATGAGTTAAATGGCACATAAATCTTGGAGGAAAATGTAGAACTTGCCAGGGTGATTAAAGACAACAAGACATAAGACGGTTTTTAGAAATCATGAAGGTCATTACGAGTTTTTTGTAATGACTTTTGGGCTCATTAGTGCATGTCTAACATTTCAATCCTTAATAGCCTTCTTTGATGTCTTTTTGATCTATAGTACCAGCCAAGAAGATCATGCAAAGCATTTAACCCAAGCTCTTCAAATCCTAAAAATACACGAACTTTACGCAAACAAAAAAGATATGAGTTTGTGAGAACCAAGATTGGGTACTTAGGACATTTTATATCAAAAGGAGTGGACATTGTTAGAACAAAAGTGGAACGAAGGTTCTAAATACCGTAAGACGTGACTTGACGGCAATGTCAAGTCTCAAACTTTTCCGAGCTATGACGAGCCATATTGTTTGTAAGACGTGACTTAAGGCGACAATTTTGTATATAATTAATATTTTTATATGTATTTTCAACTATTATTTATTTTTATACAAATATATGAGTTAAGACGGCATTTTGGTAAAACTTGTCGGTAGGTACAAGCCCTGGAGTCATGGTGCGCCAAGGCGAGCTTTTTAGAACCTTGAGTGGAACTACTGTTAGGTTGGGTGGGTATGGAGCGGGAAATGAGTAAATGAAGCTTTCCCTCACCTTGGAACACCATACCGAGAGTGAAGGAAGATGAGTGCGGGAAAAAAGTGAGGAGAGGCTATCCCGCACTCTCTCTCATCTTCTGATTGGATATAATTTTTTTAAAATATTTATTAAATTATATACCTACTAAAAAGTTATAAAAAAATTATCAAAATTCATGGTTTTTAATTTCCTACAAAAATAAGTATAATATTTGTATATAATATATATTTTTTTAGAAAAATAAAAAAATATAATATAATGAAAGATGACAATTTCATGCCTTTTGGTGAGGGAAATATGAGCGAGGGAAACCTGATGTGACACTGAAAAAATAAAAGATTTTTTCAATACATACCATGTGATCTAATTAGAGGGCATGACTAGATTACTAAACCTCTCACCGATTTGCTTAAGAATAGTATTTTTGCAATGTAGAAGCAAATATGGCATTTGAACTCAGTGAACTCATAAAATTAGCCTTAACGTCGTCCTCTCCAATTTTAACATTTCCTGATATAAAAAACAATTTATAACTGAAATAGATTAATTCGGAGGTGGTTATGTGTTGTTTTGTTGCAAGAATGAAAGCCAATTTCATTTTTTAGCCAAGTATTGGATTTACGGGGCCGACAAAAACCAATATATGAGAAAGAACATATGGCTATAGTCTTTGCAATTACCAAATGGAGGCCTTATTTGGTCGGATGAAAGTTCGTCGTTAAAGCAGACCACTGTGCTGGGCTGAAGTCGGCGATACGCAGTTAGCTAAAGGACGAATTCCTGACAGCACTCTCACCGGTCCAGAAATTATTCGGGAAACGACAGAGAAGATCGTTTAGATTCGTGAGCGATTGAAAGCCTCTAGAGACCGACAGAAAAGCTACGCAGACAAGAGAAGAAAACCTTTGGAATTTCAGGTGGGAGACCGAGTCTTATTGAAAGTCTCACCCTGGAAGGGCTTGATACGCTTCGGAAAGCGGGGAAAGCTGAATCCAAGGTACATAGGGCCTTTCGAGATCATTGCTAGAATCGGCCCTGTAGCTTACAAACTCAACTTACCTCGTGAACTTAGCAACGTACATCCTACTTTCCACGTCTCGAACTTGAAAAAGTGTCTATCCGACGAGACTCTTGTAATCCCTCTTGACGAGATCGAGATCAACGAGAGCCTCAACTTCGTGGAAGAACCTGTAGAGATCATGGACCGAGAGGTCAAGCGAACGAAGCAAAGCCGCATCCCTATAGTGAAGGTTCGCTAGAATGCCAAGCGAGGACCCGAATTCACTTGGGAGCGCGAGGATCAAATGAAACTTAAATATCCTCATCTTTTCGTATAGTTAGTTGTAATAACGTAGTCGCTTAAACTCTAATTTCGGGACGAAATTCCCTCTAATGGGGGGATGATGTAGCAACCCGATATTTCAAACTTGTACATTCTTCATTTCTATCAAAGTTAGCCTTGTTTTGCTATCTTTTAATAAAGTTTTGGGTCTATATGAGTGCTCTAGGCTTAGTATAACCTAGATATGAGTCTTAGGAAGGGTTAGAAAATGTGTAGCATCACAAAATCGGGCCAAACACACCAAACAAGGTGTGTGCGGCCGCACACCAGAGTGTGCGGCCAGCCAGCCGCACACACCCTCCAGCCTCACACTCGATCCTATATAAAGGACCCTAGGCCAACCTTACACTCCTTTTCCCACTCCTTCAAAGCTGGGACGTTTTCTCTCAAGAATCCTTCAAGTTTTCCTCTCCAATCGTCAAAACAAGTAAGTAAACATCCTTAGATCCTTGATACAACTCTTTAGCAAGCCTTTTCCTCTATTTTGATCCATGAAATCATCATTCTTGATGATGTTCATGTGTGTACGGCCGCACACACATCATGTGTGACCGCACACACATTTTTTGGCCTTAAAATGGTCTTAAACCCTTATCTAAGCCTAGCAACGGCCAAAACACCTTCTTGGGATCATTACAAAGCCTTGGAAAATCG